TCTTTTTTTTTTTTTTTTTTTTTTTTTTTTTTCTCAGTATGACCCAAAGTTCGGAGACGCTTTTTGGAACAGTTCCAAGTATAGCATGGTCAGTTACCTGCTGAGGATGATGACCAGCTGGGCCCTGGTCTGCAATGTCTGGTACCTGCCAGCCATGCACCAACAGGTGTGTACGACCCTGCGGCGAAGCACATGCATAAAAAGTCCTGGTGACCCACCCCTCCACATATGTACACACACAGACGCATACATCAGGGTCGACTGATTGTTGTTGTATTCCAAAATGGCAGGAGGGGGAAGATGCTGTCCAGTTTGCCAACAGGGTGAAGTCGGCCATCGCTCACCAGGGAGGGCTGGTGGATCTACAGTGGTAAAATTCAACTTGTTTATTTGTAAACGGAGCATTTTGCTTCTCTTTCTAGAGTATATGGAGTTAAGTCCAGGACGGGGCTTAAAGGGACAGTTCACCCCCCAAATTTATTTATTTTTTACCTTGATAGTGATTGACATGCTTCAACGGTTAGCACTGCTCTCAGTTTGCCTCACACGTTGCCTCTGCAGGGATGGAGGCCTGAAGAGAGCAAAGGTGAAGGAGTCGTTTAAAGAGGAGCAGCAGAAGCAGTACAGCAGCATGGTGGTGGGAGACGACAGCAGCAGCAGTGACTAAGACGGATCCCCGCCCTGTGGAGGACACGCACACTGGAAACGGGGCCTCTCTCTCTCCCCACTGGTGATGCTCTCGTTAGCCGGGGCCTGATGCTGCCAAGTGGACATTTAAACACACTGTGTATTCTCAGGTACTGCCAAAAGAAGGGGGAGAGTCTCAGCGATTCACAGGAAACAGAAAAGTGCAATATATTGAACTTTACAAGAAGCCGAGCGTGAAATGGGGGGGGGGGGGGCTCCTTTTTGGTTTTAATGCTGCTGAAGAAACCGTTATTGCGATTTGAAATCTGTGATTGCGGACGAGCCGCTCAGAAAAACTGGATTCGTGAAGGCCTCACGGTCGGTCCACTTCATTCATGTGCAGTTCATTTTTGTTTACAACTTCTAGTAGCCGTTGTGAAAAGAACCTGGACGTGTTTTGTAGTTGTGCTGTTTTATAACATAACATCATTTCATGCAGACACTGAGATAATTGGGACTTTAGCGTTTAGACATTGGTTTTAATGTCTTTAGATCTTGCAGTGTTGTATTGCAACACAATTAACACTGATGAGCAGCCACGTGACACCTGAAAGACAACAATCTTCCGTTATTGAATTTAACACTGATAGACATGATACACTATTTTCTTTTTTGTTCTTCAAAAAGAACTTCTTGCGCTGTCATTTCTTTTCTTTTTTGTCAAGTTTGACCCCCACAGAACTGTTAAGCATGGACACAAGAGACACAAGGGTTTGGCACTTAAATAATACACGAGAACGTCGAGTGTGCAAGATAGTTAATTGTATGTCCACACGGGACATGACGGCCTTAAAGGAGAACACACAGCCGAGACTTTTTGGATCCCTCTCCACTGAGTGGTTCTCCTGAAGTGTGATCTTCACTGCTGATGTTTTTCTGTGGGCTCCCCTCTGCGGCTCCTAAAAGCAAATTTAAAGATGGATGATTAAAACGTCGTGTGTGTGTGTGTGTGTGTGTGTGTGTGTGTGTGTGTGTGTGTGTGTGTGTGTGTGTGTGTATATATGTGTGTATGTGTGTGTGTATATGTGTGTGTATGTGTGTGTGTGTATGTGTGTGTATATGTGTGTGTGTGTGCGCGTGTGTGTATGTGTGTGTGTGTGTGTGTGTGCGCGCGCGTGTGTATGTGCGCGTGTGTGTGCGCGCGTGTGTGTGCGCGCGTGTATATGTGCGCGTGTGTGTGCGCGCGTGTATGTGTGTGCGCGTGTGTGTGCGCGCGTGTATGTGTGTGTGTGTGTGTGCGCGCGCGTGTATGTGTGTGTGTGTGTGTGTGCGTGCGCGCGCGTGTATGTGTGCGTGCGCGCGCGTGTATGTGTGCGTGCGCGCGCGTGTATGTGTGCGCGCGCGCGCGTGTATGTGTGCGCGCGCGCGCGTGTATGTGTGTGCGTGTATATACATGCGCGCGCGCGTGTATGTGTGTGCGTGTATATACATACACGCACAAAAAATTCAAACTGTCAGCATCCTCACCCTTACTCTCTTCATCGCCCGGATCTGTCTTGTCCTCGGTGCCCTGCGTAACAAACAAACGGCACTTCAATCTCGTGAGCAACAGTCGCATTGTGTCTCGCGGCCTCTAAACCAGACTTGATGACGGTACTCACCTGCATTACGTTGCTTTTGTTTTTCTTTCTCTCTTGGAGTTCCTGATATCTGCAACCATGACAATACGTTTACATGTGATCGGCAAGATAACTCTGTCTAATTTATTTACAACAGCCAGTGCATCTTGAAAATGTGACCTCTCGTCCTTTTAGCGAACCAGCCGGGAGAAACATAAGGGCATGGAGAAATATGTATGAGCCCGATTAGTGCTTCACATCTGTGTATCCAGTTGCTGTCCCTTCGGGCCGGCAGTGTTTCAATAAAGCTGCTCTCTGGTTTTCCCTGAATGAATACAATGGTTGTTGTTTTTTACTGTCCGAGCAGCCTATTGTTGCACTATAATGTCTTGTTTGTGTTTTTGAATATAGCTCGTTTATTAGTTATGCGTAGCTTTGGTTTAAAGGAACAGTGTGCAGGATTTATGGGGATTTATTGGCAGAAATTGAATACAATATGCATAACTATGTTTTCACTAGTGTATAATCAGCTGACACTAGGACATTGTTGTGTTATTGTTAGCTTAGAATGAGCCCTACATAGGGAGCGGGTCCTCTTTACAGACGCCGCCATGTTTCTACAGCAGCTCAAAACAGATCTATATCCAGATACGAACGCATCATTCTAATCTAATGAAAACATAACAATTCTCATTTTTAGGTGAGAACACTGACAATATAGTTATGAATATTATATTACATTTTTGCCAATAACCTTTTTATCCAAACCTACATGGCCCTGTGTGAAAAAGTGATTGCCCCCCCTGTTAAAACATAAATTAACTGTGGTTTATCACGTCTTTGGAAAGCTGAGTTCAATTTCTCTAGCCACACCCAGGCCTGATTACTGCCACACCTGTTCTCAATCAAGAAATCACTTTAAATAGGACCTGTCTGAAATTCAGGAACAAATGAGAAACAAAGTAATTGAGATCTATCAGTCTGGAAAAGGTTACAAAGCCATTTCTAAAGCTTTGGGACTCCAGCGAACCACAGTGAGAGCCATTATCCACAAATGGCGAAAACATGGAATAGTGGTGAACCTTCCCAGCAGTGGCCGGCCGACCAAAATTACCCCAAGAGCGCAGCGACGACTCATCCAAGAGGTCACAAAACACCCCAGAACAACATCCAAAGAACTGCAGGCCTCACTTGCCTCAATTAAGGTCAGTGTTCATGACTCCACCATAAGAAAGAGACTGGGCAAAAATGGCCTGCATGGCAGAGTTCCAAGACGAAAACCACTGCTGAGCAAAAACAACATAAAGGCTCGTCTCAGTTTTGCCAGAAAACATCTTGATGATCCCCAAAACTTTTGGGAAAATACTCTGTGGACTGACGAGACAAAAGTTGAACTTTTTGGAAGGTGTATGTCCCATTACATCTGGCGTAAAAGTAACACGGCATTTCAGAAAAGGAACATCATACCAACAGTAAAATATGGTGGTGGTAGTGTGATGGTCTGGGGCTGTTTTGCTGCTTCAGGACCTGGAAGACTTGCTGTGGTAAATGGAACAATGAATTCTGCTGTCTACCAACAAATCCTGAAGGAGAATGTCCGGCCATCTGTTCGTGACCTCAAGCTGAAGCGCACTTGGGTTCTGCAGCAGGACAATGATCCAAAACACACCAGCAAGTCCACCTCTGAATGGCTTAAGAAAAACAAAATGAAGACTTTGGAGTGGCCTAGTCAAAGTCCCGACCTGAATCCGATTGAGATGCTGTGGCATGACCTTAAAAAGGCGGTTCATGCTCGAAAACCCTCCAATGTGGCTGAATTACAACAATTCTGCAAAGATGAGTGGGCCAAAATTCCTCTACAGCGCTGTAAAAGACTCGTTGCCAGTTATCGCAAATGCTTGAGTGCAGTTGTTTCTGCTAAGGTTGGCCCAACCAGTTATTAGGTTTAGGGGGCAATCACTTTTTCACACAGGGCCATGTAGGTTTGGATTTTTTTCCCCCTTAATAATAAAAACCTTCATTTGAAAACTGCATTTTGTGTTTACTTGTGTTATCTTTGTCTAATATTTAAATTAGTTTGATGATCTGAAACATTTAAGTGTGACAAACATGCAAAAAAATAAGAAATCAGGAAGGGGGCAAACACTTTTTCACACAACTGTATGTTGCATGTCTTTTATTGACATCCCTATCGTGGGCTGTTCTGTCTGAGAGGTCACAGCAACAGCATTAACGTTCCTTACCCGTTCGTTACATGAAAGGCAACGTAACACCCGTCGCACTGTATTCTACCCACCGTTGCAGATAAGAGTCACAGTTCCTGTTGGCAGGTTTGGTCTTCGTCCTCAGTCTGTCTGGGTCAGGCTCTCCTCCCACATCCACCCTGCCTGCAGCTCCAGATGCAATCGGCATCTCTGACGGAAGAACTACAGATTGCAAAAATCCAAAGTGAAGTCTCAATCATTTGGATGCAACTCTGCTGCTGCTGCAAATGCGCTGAAAGTGGAGCTTGCCTCGCATATATTTCACACACTCTTAGTCCTCTTGTTGTTGACCGTCTGGTCGCTGTGCGAGCAGGGAAATGTGTGCTGTGGTGTTTGTTGTTGTATCCGTGGCAACAGTGTGGCCAAAGAATGGAACAGCATCTTTGAATGTGATGGACAGCATGGCATCTTCTTTACGTGAAATACTGTATTTAAACAGTCTTATACAAAATCGTGTATAAAAAAACCTTTACCAACCAAGAAAACGGCCTTCTCTGCTAGTGAGCATTCAGTCTGGAGTTTATCCAATTCTAATTCTCTCCTGTCTTTAAATAGTTTTCTTTACTTTTAATGTAATTTTGTATAATGTGTGGATATGATTCTGACTCAAGTTACATATTTCCTGACTATTATTTCTTTCTTTCTTTATTCATTCATCTTTTACATAATCAAAAGTAGGACTTAGATTTTTTTTTTTCCTTGGATCACAGCAATAGCAATGTATTTTTAGTCTTATTACATATACAGTGTTTATTATTTGTAATTAACAAAGAAGCTTTTGAGGAACACTTTATTCTCAAAATAGCCAACAAACAAATGAAATTATTTCTAACAGCAACAGAACTGCAGCATTTATAACGTTTCAATGAATCAGACATTCCAACATTACTCCATCAGTCATCGAGGCTTCCGAATGATAACCAGCCAGTTTAGAAGCAGCCGTCTGCAGGTTTAGACGACCTGTATGACCCGACCACGGCCCTTGTTAGGATTCTTCCTTCTCATCTCCGTGCGTGATGATGTAGCAGAGGGACTTGTAGTCAATATTGCCAGTCGGGTCGATGGGAGCGAGAGCGAAGGCCTGATCCACCTGCAGGTTTATGAAGTGAGAATTTGCCTGGTGAAAGGGATCATCCCACAGAATAGTTTTGGAGTCTGTCACAATAAAAGATGGAAAACACAAACCTCCTCTGCTGTGAATTTATCAGCCTGGTTCATCAGTAACCGCTTAAACCTGGATAAACAAAAACATGTTACAGCTAGTATGGAAAATATAAATAACATGGAAAATAATAATTAAAATGTATCTTACTCATCCTTGTTAACGAAGCCCGTCCCATTGGGGTCAAACAGTTTGAAGGCAGCAAGTATGGTGTCTTCAGGATCGGTACCTGGGGGGGGAAACACAAGCATCGTAAAGAATCTTCTAAATATATATATATTTTTAAAATAAAAGATTTGTTTGATTGTCGGTGAAAAGCCCTCACCGTTGAGTTTCTCCCCAAAGAGAGAGAGGAACACGGTGAAGTTAATGGGACCCTTCCCCTCATTCAGCATCTCGTCCAGCTCCTCATCGTTGACATTAAGCTTCCCTGGTACACAAACCAATTTATATTTTATATATATGAATATATATATATATATATATATTAAGATAAAGACATAAAGATTAAGAAAATACCCAGCTGTCCATAGGTCTCCTTCAGGTCCTGTTTTTTGATAACACCATCTCTGTCTTGGTCAATGCATCCAAAAGCCTGTGGGATGAAGCACAGAAATAACAATGGTGAAGAATTCAAATAAAATATGTACGTTTTTTCTTTTGAAGTGCAGGTAGGCTGATGGTCATTCATGAAAATGACAGAAATACTGAAAAGGAGCTATTTGACCCTTCAGAATTCACCAAATGTAAGTGCATTTAGGCTTTTCTTTCTTCTCAGTGACGAGGGTCAAAAGAGGGGAATTTAGACACACGTCAGAATTTAAATTAGTGCATTTCCAAGAGAGCTACTGCATTATTTCCTCCTCTTGATAATACAAGTAAGGAATTGTTGCATTGATCCTTTATAGGGCTTCTTGTACACAAAGCTGCTTCATGAGAATAGCCATTGCTAATTATGGCAGGAGGAACACTGATGCCTTACTCTTAAAACTGAAGAATTCATTTTAAAAATGTGAAAAAATGTATTCTAGGAAAAACTGAATGACTGTTTTGAAGAATCACGCTTTTAACTAAAAACTCTTATACATTATTAATGTCTCTTGCATGAAATCAAACTGTAATAGGCATGTTTTCATCCATGCATTTTGTCTATAATGCCGCTCCAATTGAACTAAAGGAGTTCAATTCCTTGAATATTTCCATTTCCCCTTTTTCCTTCCCTTGCACTGATTTGTAAAAATCACAGGTTCCCACACAAATTTCCCACAAGAGAAGTTTCAAAGGGAGCTGTGAAGGCGGCACACGATGCAGCACTGTACCTCCTTGAACTCCTGTATCTGGGACTGCTCAAACATGGAGAAGACATTGGAGCAAGACTTCTGTCCTCCCCTCTGTCTCTTATTGGAGGCCTTCTTACTTGCCTGAGAAGAGGAACACAAACACGTTAAGTTTACGCGCTGCTATTTTTTGTGGTCTGCGGATTTATACAATACAACTGCAATCAAGAGACAATAACAAATGTGTTCTTGAATACACCATTACAATGATTCCAACTTTTAAAATCGTCACCGACTGAAAGTATGAGTGGCTTACCATGTCTGAATGATCGTATGTGGACTCCCAGCAGAGGTGTGATGCCGGAGTAGGTTTTATGTACGGCTCATCTTATCTTCTACCCTCCTATAATAGCCTGTGGTGGGCAGAACAGTCCCTTACATGGCCACGGCTGCTCTCTGTGTGTCACTGAAGGTGCCTGATAAGACATGAAGCAGCCAAGATTCCTCTGGACTGGAAAATAGAGATAGGAAGAGCAGAGAGGAGACGGGGGGAAGTGACCTCTGACATCACACGTCACTCAACTGAATGAAGTTTGCTCCTCAGAGCTCAAATCCTGCTGTATGTGTAAATTTAATGTAAGCAGTGGCGGACTCAGGCTGTTTGAGGGGCAGTGGTAATTTAAAAAAAAAATGGCAGCATCAGAAAGCATGTAGGGCATTCTATAAGGCACTGTATCATGTTTTCTCCATTTAAGGGCACCTATTGGTGCACTGCATTTTGTTTTCTCCACCGAAAGAGTACCGTAGAGTAGAGGGCACTTCATTATGTTGTTTTCACTGGAAAAGAACCCCAGAGGGCACTTTATGTTTTATCTGTAGCATCCAAGAACGCATTTCATCATGTTTTCTCCAATAGAAAGGCACCCTAAAGGACGCTTTGTGTTTTCTCCCCCGGAATTGCACCTCAGAGGGCAATTTTTTATGTTTTGGACTGGTCTATTCTTATTTCATACCTCCCTGATATAAAAAAAAAAACCTGTTTAAATGAGAATATCAGCACTGGTGTATTGAAATAGTGATAACACTTGTCTTAAAATGTGTCTTGATTTACAGCATCTTCCTGTTCCATTAGTAGATGTGGCAATAAGTCACAACTTCAAGAGAAAACATTTCATTCAGCTGTGGCATTAAATCTCAGCCATAGTTAGAAGTTAAAAAAAACAATAATATTAGTTTATTATAATAGTTTAATTATGCAATTATATTTACAGTAAAGCCTATTCACATCCAAGGCACATTTCATCATACACATAAAACCTAACACACAGAGTGGTAAACATAACATTCAAATATACAATAGCAAGGGAATAATTCATTATTGAAATCACTACACAACAAAGCAATGAATCTGATTTAGTCCCAGTTAACAGCAGCCTTTACAAAAAAGAATCCTTGTGTTGTTTGCACAGGTATCATAATATATCTATAATACATCGGCCAATTTTCACATTGGCCAGTTAGGTTCACACCCAAACACTAGCAACAGGCAGTGACACAGAGTTAAAAAAAACACTGAAATTGCGACACGTTGGTCTAATGCTACCAAAATACAGTTGCTTTCTTGTCTGTACATCTTCCAGCTGCAAGTATCCGGTCTGCTGACACGCATCCCTTCAGAGCCCGAAAGAGGCCAGAGCCACCGGCTGTGGGTGACATGTCGTCAGTGTTCTCAGGTCAGAGTTCTCGGGGTGCACCTTTTTCTTACTGTGTCAGCATGCTGGTGGCCATCTTGCAGGCCACCGCTGAGATGAGGGCGGCACCGCGGCCGCTCCCCTCCTCCGACTGGATGAAGGTAATGTCGCAGTGAGGCGTGAGGTCCCTGACGATTTTATGGAACCTGTCACGGAAACTGAGATGGAGGGAAAACAACGCGTTTAAACAAGCCTCACAAGCTTAATATGAGGCCAAAAAGCAGTTATTTTCAGTCACATTTGGAAGCAGTGCATTTTGGGTAAATCTAATCACATAATCCCCATATTTAATTTGCTTGTTCTTCAGAAGACTACGGTGTTCAAAAGTCTATTCACCATGGGTGCAGCTTGTAGACGGATCCGTCGATCCCCACTGTGATCTTCAGGGCCTCCTGACTGCGTCGCTCCCGCATCAGGTTGATGATGGCGGCGAGCCCCGCGCCGCACATGTGAGCGGAGCGTGTGGACACGCTCTCGCAGACCAGACGCACGATGTCGCAGTCCAACTCCGAGGGCAGAACACCCAGCGAGGACAGGACGTTGTAGATCTGTTTTCTGTCCCCAGTGTCACTGATCAAAAAAAAAAAAAAAAAAAAAGAGAGAGAGCAATCATTTCTAGTTCCACTATGTTCACGATGCATGAATATTATATGTATTATAGAAATACCACGCTTTATAATTTCCTGTTGTACTCAATGTTCAAATGTTAAATCAAGCTTCTACAAATACTGCAGTAACTGTAACATCCAAATAACTTCCCCCTCAACACTGCTATCAGCCTTATCTCATCAGATTATGCATACATAACACATTATTTGTTTTGTTATATTAATGTATGAAAATGTTATGCTTATGCAATGATTGTCTCGAAAAATACTGTCTTAATCATTTTCACCATCAGCCATCTTTTGTCTGAGAGAGATAGATAGAGAGATATATATATATATATTTATATATATATATATATATATATATATATCTGACAAAGGATGACTGATGGTGAAAATGATTTAGACACACACATGTATGTATACCAACTTTCCTCACCTCTCCATCTGTGAGACGTAGCGCGTCTCAAAGCTGCCACGTGTCTTCAGCAGCTCGGAGGCCTCGCTGTTAAACAGCAGGTCCTCGTTCACCAGCTTTAACAGAACTAGCCTGACCAGCTCGCCCATATACTTCCCGCTGATCAGCTTCTCGTACCTGCAGGAGGCGAGGAGTAATTTTAAAACAAACATTGACAGGAAGGACGGGAGCACGGACTCGAGAGGAGGATGTCGAGAGAGCAACGTGCACGTCACGAAACATGCTGGGCAAACAGCTGCCTCTCGAAAAAGAAGGGGAGTGGGCGAGGGCGGTGACATCAGTGCCTGAGAGGCTCATTGAGGCCGGGCACGGCTGTCGTCTGCGTAAAAGGGACCGCCAGTGCAAAAAAGATAAACAGCCATTAGGCCGGCGGGCACTGTGGCAAGCAGCGGAGAGGGGTCATTAATCTGCCACCCCCCCCCCCGACGCACTGACTGACCACTGACGTATGAGGGCTCTGGCCATTTACAAACACCCACAGGAAAAACAGCCGGGAGCTTAGCAACTTCCCAGAGGCCTTGGGTGGAAGTCAGGTGAGTATTGCCACGGAAGGGTGATTAATTCGTTGGAACAATAAGAGGATGAGGGAGGGTGTGTGCGGCACGCTTTAAATTACAGTCTCTTTCCGAGCATCGAACACTCGAGTGCGTACGTGACGCATTAGATTTGGAGGACACGTGGAGGTCGATGGAGCTTCCCTATGTGTGGCTTCAAACTGCGTGTTTTGGACTGAATGAACTCACAGCTGCTGCCCGGGGTTAATCGAGGTCTCGTCCACCACTCTGTCGTACTCCAGCCGGAACTCCTCCAGCTCCCCGTTGTTGCCGAACGCCCCCCACTCTGTGTTCACGCACATGCGGCCCTCCTCCCCTTCCACCAGCTCCACGGTCCTCATCTCCTCCATGTAACATGCATTACAACCAGTGCCTGTTAACCAAAAAAAAAGCACATTATGTCGTCTGCAAAGGAGCATGTCGCACATCAGTACTTGCGCTCGTGTTTGAAAAGTGTTTTGAACCGCTCACCGACAATCATCCCCACTTCGCAGCTGCGGTCCTCGTAGTAGCAGGAAATCATGGTGGCCACTGTGTCGTTCACCATGGCAACCACGTCCATCTCAAAGTCCTAAAAAACGACAACAGCGAATTGGCAGCCCAGCCGTGTTACAAATCAGTCTCGTGGCGTTTTCTCAAGGAAGAATCGTAACGTTCGGCTAACTCACCCCTCGTCTCTTGATGGCGTCTCTGAGCAAACCCACGACGTTGTTCCCCTCTGCCCCAGAGGCCTTGAAGCCTTTGGTCCAGTTCAGCAGGATGCCCTGCAGCAAGAGGAGAAACAAGACAAACCTTAAATGCCTTGACCGATCTCAGTTTCGTTTAAAGGCATGTCCGATGCACAGTAGGATGTCCTACCTTGTCGATGTCCTCGTGTCGAACAGGAAAGGAGAAGGTGAAACCCAGAGGGAGCTTCCTGTGCTTGATGTGATGCTTGTCCAAAAAGTCGGACATGCACTCTGCTATGTAGTCAAAAAGCTGCAGAGAGGGAGAGCGAGAGAGAGAGATACAAAGGATATCAGATGTGGGATACTGCACTACAATAGGAGCTCATTTCTTTCTGAGAGACAACCAGACCCTTGAGGTCTCTTAGAGTTTTGGTTTAGACTCTGACCATTTGGGCAGTGCCCGTCATGGCATCCTCGGGAATGGAGTACATCTGGTTCTTGGTATCCACCTTCCAGCTCATCTCCTCGTCCTCAACCACCTTCACAAGCATCACGCGGAAGTTGGTCCCGCCCAGGTCCAGAGCCAGGAAGTCCCCCACCTCTGTCAAAACACACACTACATCTGAACGTGCACGTACTGGCTTTACCTGCGCAGGTGATAATCATTAGGAGCATTGTATCTGGGTGACTTTATCAAAAAATCAAAAAGGATCATCTTATGATGGAGTATCTACCTGATCCCTCGGGGGTGGAGCAGACGTAAGTCGGGAGCATTTTCACGCTGGCCTCTTCGTGCGTCTCCAGACGCAGCCCTCTGTCCATCTCGCGCTGCATCCTCGTCATGACTTCTTTGAGCTCTTCCTTCTTCAGCCTGAACTCTGACAGGATCTGCTCCGCCTACAGCGAGAGACGAGGAGAGGGGGGTGGAAGCGGGTCAGGGGAGACCAAATAAATGCACTGGATCCACGCTGACAAACCGCACGCGTGAAAACGATTCTTCACTTATTTTAAGAAGATAAATGAGGTTTCAGTTTTGAAAACAGGAAGGGAAATCAGTTACAGCAACAAAAAGGAATTAGAGAAGAGACAAATGACATGCTAAAGATCGGCAACGGCCCTGCGTTACGATACAAAACTACCAAATGAAGGTTATGCTTCGGACATACAAACATATTTTCATGACAAATCTGATCATCTAACACAATCTGGCTCCTCACTCAGAGTTTCTTCTGAAACAACGTGTCGCACGTAACGCAGCAACGCTAAACGAACTTAAACCCACCACGAAGCCCCACTGGACAGAGACGTCAGTCTTACCATGAGGATCTTATCGACCGCAGGGCCATGGCTGCAGGGCATCTTCACCATCTGGACGGAGCTGACACACGGCATGGTCGCAGGTTTAGCTAAATGAGCCTCTGCAAGTGTGTGTGTGTGTGTGTCTCTGGTGTTTCTAGGCGTGCGGTGAGTGTGTGTACGCCCCCGCGAGTGTGTGCAGAGTCAGTGAGGTGTGAGTAGCGCTGAATGGGAGCCTCGGCTGCTTTTATGCTCCTTCCCAAGCACCCTCACCCCATCTGGCCATCAAGGGCCAAAAGCCCCCCCTCACCGAAAAAAAAAAATAAAAAATGTGACCTTTGTCGATAAAACAAATCTTAGTAGCTTAGAGAGCTGGTGATGAGTTATTGCATGACCTACTTAATCGCAATATATCCCATTCTGAACTGTATGATTTATGTTATCATGGTGACAATTTGAAGAGTTTTACAATTTAATAATAATTAAAGCTGCTGCTAAGTCTGTAATTCAGTTTAATTACTTCTATCTTAGCCAGAGAGATTTTTCTTGTTTTAAGGTAATACGAACAACAACGACAACAAAAAACAACGTACAAAATAAATCAAAATGTTATTTCTCAGTGTGAAGGACTGAATGTACTGTTAGGGTACACAGTCTATCTCAGATGGCGTTTTAACGTAGCAACAAAGAGTTATGATTTGATTTTGTAAATTATTCTCGTGACCTTTGACCCATAGCTCAGCCCACCGACCGAGCCACCAACACGACAAGTCAAACACATCTGAACATGAACCCTGTGATCTGAACGCATCAATCTCTTCATGTAGAAGAGCTACATCCAATGTCATCGGGTTTGCTCAATGAAGCCTGAGAGGGTTACGCATTATATGTTTGTTAAAATTAGTAACATGTCTAAAATTAGCAACAGCAAGGGATGAATGACCTCCAAAACAAACAATTCGGTGAAGGCCTTCTGTGCTTATCAGGAACAGTAGTTTAGCTGACTGTCAGCGCTTTTTTTAGCTCTGACCTCTGGCTGTGAGGTGACACGGTCCCCTACTAGTAGGAAATCTAAGTCTGTCACACTCACCTAAAGACACACATTTAAGTAAGAATAATAATCCAGAACTGCTCATAATGTATACCCTCTAGTCTAGCATGTAATCATTTTCCTTAAATTACATCTTCAGTCGCTTTAAGTTTGGAAAAAAGCATTTTTGAGATTTCTTTTTTTTTTGTTTTACATTTGTGATCAAATCACATATCTCCTGGTTATTTCATTGATGCTTTATGGCTCTTGGTGAGTGAAATATTTAAACAGAAGCTGCCATGTAACGTTGCAACGCTCACCTGGATTCATTGACGAATATCTCTAGTTGTTAATTTTGCAAATATTTTATGGGTAAATATTAGTTTAAATTGTTGGCTAATACCAACCTAATTACTTATATGTGTATTTATCTAATTAACTACTTATAGACAGAGAGAGAGAGAGAGAGAGAGATGATAAATGAAAAATAGATGGATAAACAGACAGACAGACAAACAAACTTGTTTTCTTTACCTTATCCATCGTATGACGACGAGGATTAAGTCCCGAGAGTCCTGCCGACCATAAGTGCTCTGCTGTGGCGATCCTCTCGTTCCTCAGGACTTATGGAGATTCCCAAGTTTCTGCAGTTATGGTGTATTTAACTCCGCGTCCGACAAGAAAATGTTGTCCTTTTATGGGAAGCGTTATTATATTCCCAACACGTCTGATCTACATAATGTTAAGCAGCAAGTCTCGAGCACATTTTCATAACTGCAGTATTGACAAGGCCTTTTTCTGGTGAACAGTGAAATGCTCTCTTTTTGAAAGGAGGGCAGAATTGTTTTAAAAAGATATTTTCAGGGGAAAAAAATAAGGATTCATCTTCATCCCTACAAAAATCTATGCATTCACTGTCATTTTAGATATCGTAAGGAAAACAAAACTATGGCTTTGTCTTCATTCTTGCAGTTAACAGGTCCAGTTAACATCCACATTGACGCATAGGATGCGCCATCAGCCGGTGAAACAAAAGAAAAGATTAAAACACTGCCTTCCAAACCCTCATTCCAAGGATGCACATTACATTTTACAGCAGAAAAATATTAAGCAAACCTCCCTTTGGCTGGCCTTCTTACCGACCGTGTTACCTTGATATCTTAACGCAACCAAAACTAGTTCCAGGAAAGAAACATCTTCTCCTCCCCCCCAGGTCTGCAGCTGTCCTGTCAACAGGTCGCACCGCAATGCTTAGCGGTTTCCATGCCCAAACGGTTTCAATGTGTTGCCTTGGAAATGAATTACAGGCACACTTTCTGCCATGGAAAACACTTACCACTCAGTTAAGTAGCCAGGGGCGAATTGTTAAATGGAGCAAGGTTACCAGAGAAAACATCAATTGACGGTGCCATATTTTTTGTGGAAAAACAAGGTAGACTCACAAGGCCACCAAGATGTTTAAAATTTTAGACCCATTGTTATTATTATTATTTTTCCTTATCGTTTAAGATGTAAAATTATATACAAAGTCAAACTTTTTGAACTACATGTTTGAGCAATTTATTTAGGGGTGACTAAATAATGATCAGATGCAAATTATTATCATCAATTTATAGGTCCACTATTTCCAATATCCGAATTGTATTGTACAGATTTTGTTGTTTGGCTTCACACCAACTGGTTTTCAGAAGAAAATAATGATATGTTATTAACCCTGAGAAAGACAGTTATTTAATTTTACAAATATAGAACTAGACTTTTACCAGATAGTACAAAGTCCACCAACATGAAAGGAAAATACATAATAAAGTCTGTGTGTCATATCAAGCAGCAGCCAACAGTTCAAAGGTTTTCTTTTTCTTTTACTGTCAAAAAAAGTTATATTATCTGTCTCGGGCTGAATATTATTTAAAAGTACAAAATCCTCCACTGACTTGTAAATCATCAAATACTTTGACCAACTTTAACTAGTAACCCATTGGAACTATTAACCTACCGGCGTGTTTGTTTCCACCGGAGCAGATATCCCGTTGGACCATATGAGGATCGTGACGTGGTGATTGGTCATCTACCTGCATTTTGAAAACTACTTAGTTCGCCACAACTACATTGTGATTAGGCCGCTGGGCGTCTTTTATACATGTCTACGAGCTTTAGTTTACGTGGAAGAGAAGGTTTATTCGGTTGTTTTGACTGCTGAATTGTCTGGTAAGTTAGCGGAGGCCTCACGGAGACCAGATAGCATCTGTAGCTAGCTTCTTATATACAGTCTATGCTAGCTAGCAATGCACTTGACTTGATTTCTGAAATGTAGCTAACGCTAGCTATGCAAGTTTAAAAACTGCATTTACGCACTTGCTACCTAGTGGTAAGTGTGTACTACCTACTGTCAGTTTGTCAATTTGTCTTTGCATGGAGAAAAAAAAGGTTGGTTCGCGATAGTTGGCTAGCTTAGTAGCTAACTTAATAATAAGTCGGCTACTTTCACTTCTAAGCTAACGTTAGCACTTGTCATCTGTAACTTCGTTCGCTCGAGTTTAGCTGCTGTTAGCAGAGACGATAGGTAGCTGGCTGCGCTGGATAAGGGATAATGCGCTCATGTGATTCTGCTTGTGTCATCTTCCAGATTAGATCACCGGGGCTGCGTGACCGTGTCTGCTGCGACTGACCGAGTGGAACTCATACGGTGGCAGCATGAAGCTCTACAGCATCAGCATCCACCATAAAGGAGCGACCAAAGCCAACCTCCTCAAATCGGCCTATGACCTCTCCTCCTTCAGCTTCTTTCAGCGCGCCAGGTGGGTCCGACTGAATACAACCAGCATCTGACCGATCAAAACATTTTGAACGTGTCTTTAACTTTTTTTGTTCTCATGTTCTGTGTGTAGATTGCAGTATGCAATGAGTAACACGGTGCCCTGTCTTACGTCAGTTGTGTTTGTTTTGCAGCAAATTCTATTATTGATCGCAAGCCACAATATAGTGTTTAGGCTCGATAATGTAGCGTGGCCACACTGGGATACTTAACCTCTGTATCATTATTGTTTTGGTTTTAGTGTTCAGGAGTTCATGACCTTCACCAGTGCCTTGATTGTGGAACGGACTTCACAAGGAAGTCGTGCCTCCGTCAAAGAACAAGGTAAAAATGAGCCTCACCGTCGCTCAGCACTAGTTCTGTAGCACAATACAAGAGGCATCCTGGTGGTTACGATTCTCAGCATGGGACAAGCTACGTCCCTGCTTCGATCCAGGGACGCTTTGTTGCATATCTTCCATCATCCCCATGTTTCCTGTGTATCATAACTGACAGCTATTCAAGAAAGACAAACTAAACAAAACAAAAATCACTTCTCCATACGATGACTGATATGCAATCATCATGCATTGTGCCTGTGCTTTCTCCCTAACACCTATTTAAAAATCCATCACTTTTACTTCTGCTTTTCTTAACAAAGTGTGGCAGCTTGCTCTGGGTTGACCCGTACCACAAGACCAGATTTTTTTTTTGTTTTTACATCCCACTTCTGTTTGGATCACACCGTACATGGTTTCTCTTTCCCTCAGAGTACCTGTGCCATGTGTATGTGAGAAACGACAACCTGAGCGCCGTGGTCATCGCGGATACTGAATACCCACAGAGAGTCTGTTTCACATTGCTAGACAAAGTGCGTACAAGAACTAACTAAAGAAGAAATAAATAAATTATTGCACTTTTGCTGTCAACTTCAATATTCAGATTGTTTGATTTCTGTTATTTTTTTAGGTATTAGAGGAGTTCTCCAGACAAGTGGACAGTATAGAATGGCCCTCTGGTAATCCTGAAACTATAAACTACAAAGCCTTGGATATTCACCTTTCTAAATACCAGGTCAGTTTGTTAGAAAACATGTCAAAGGGAACCCTTGTGAGTGTGACTATTTTCTGATTGTGTGCTAAGAAAAATCTCAGATTCCCTTGGGAGCCTTCACAGCTGCAAAATTCCTGATCTGGTTCCACACTGTTTACTAAATAATATTGAGATATGCTCTGGAGTAAACCCACGGATGGAGGCATGAGGATAAAAATCCTTGAATGTATTTGTGGCATCTTGTATGACAACATGCTGCTAAATGATCATCATGCAGTTTACCAGTTGTTTTTTTTTTTTTTCCAGAATCCCAGAGAAGCAGATGCAATGACCAAAGTGCAGGCGGAGCTGGACGAGACAAAGATAATTTTGGTAAGACCCAACACTTTATAACTAAGAGGGTGACATCGGTTTTCTCGACCAATATTGTGGCTCCACATGGGAGAGACGTTCCACAGCATCTCCAGAGCCCTCGACAAGTCGAACTCTTCACGTTGCCTAAACACCTATTCTGTTTGTGCAGCACAACACCATGGAAAGTCTGTTGGAGAGGGGAGAGAAGCTGGACGACCTCGTGGCGAAGTCTGAGCACCTGGGAAACCAGTCCAAAGCCTTCTACAAGACTGTAAGTGCTGACCGCTCGCTGCATCAACGCTGCACTGAAAGTCTAATGGCAGTGAACCGCTCGGATGTCTGACGGTGTGTGTGTCTGTGTGTTTATGTTAACTCCCACCGCAGGCAAGGAAACAGAACTCGTGCTGTGAGGTCATGTGATGCCGCTGCCTCGTCCTCGCGGACACGCCTCTCTCTGTGTGTCTGTCTGTCTCTCTCTCTCTCTGCCTTTTTCCTGCTCTTCCTACAACTCCCATCACACACCAGCCACCAGCTCTCAACACAAAGGACGGGACAGACGCCGCCCAGTCTGAGGGCGCTACGGGGGGTTGAAGGCGAGTCTCCCTTGTCCGGATTGGGACCGATGGGAGCTGGAGGGGGTTTGGTCATGAGGGAAGAAGTACCATTCGAATTATGTTTAACCTCAAACATCCGTGTGGTGCTTCAATACCAGCTGCGGACATTATAGCGTGACGTCGTGTATCGGTGGTGTGTCGTTCGAAAAGTGCGTCTTCAAAACCATTTAATGTTCTTCGGATTGAATCTCATCTCTTAAAGTTCTTAAACGAATATTAACCGCAGGTGTGCTTCTGCTTGGAGGCAACACTTGACAATCTCACGGTCTCATTTTGGGATTTCATTAGACGCGTCGCCCTCTTCGGTTCAGTTTCTGTCAAAGCCCAAACGTTTTGTTTTTTTCCTGCAGGCCGTCCATCGCCCACTAGGCGGCGCTGTTTATTTACCGACATTGCTCCTGTGGGCCTCGAGTTTGATCGAAAAACTCAAACTTTTACGATGATTTTGAAATCCTAGACTTGATCAAGTGACATGATGTCTTTGAATATTTTTTTTTTTTTTTCACTTGTCTCATAGTGTGAAATCTTAAAACATTCCCGCTTTGGGGTGAGCGTGTTCTTGAGTGTGATGATGTGAAATGTAGAGATGTTTCTTCATAGACTCAGCCTTATTTCTCCCCCCTTTAGAGACCATGTCGTCTCATGAGGACAGGGCTCGTAAGCTATTCTTTTACTTTATGTAGCCATGCTTTTTTTTTTTTTTTTTTTTTAACTCTGGTAATCCACATACGACACTTAAGCAGGTCAGGGGCTCGTCTGCGCCTCTAAAATCTGGGATCACTGACATTGATTCTGGGAAATCTTCTCCTGAGACACGTTTGAAAGAGGACAGACGTAAACCTGAGTGAATTACACATCCCTCTCTTACTTTAAGACACTCCATGGCAGACTTTGTTTTTTTCAGTTAGCTTTATATGTAGAAATGTCTTTCTTCAGTAACTGCTGATCAGTTTAAGATAAAGAGATGCCTTCGGTTGTGTATTGTAGATGTTTCTCTGCTCTCTCTCTGTCGCATGTGTATGATTTGCGGATATCCAGCATCGAAGTCGAGTGCCTGTGCGTGAGGACTGTTTTGTGTGTGTGATCTGAATCGCTCTTTCTGCTTTTACAGTGTAACTTTTTGTGCAATATGTCTGCAGACTGTCTCTCTTTTAAAAGCAGAGAGAATATATGGAGAGACCTCTCATAAAGGACAGGAAAATTGACCTTTGTATATGCTATTCTTATGACTAATTCCCATGTGAAGCGTGTCCAGCGTTGTTTTTTTTCTAAATTTACAGTTAATGTGTTAAATTTAAAAAAGTGTTTCAACGGTCTGCATTAACTGCCTGATCTGGATTTGATGTGTGCAGATTCAAAACAAAGACTTCACATAATAAACTGTTCTTTTCTGTCTCTATTAACGCTTTATTTTTTTGGAACACTGATTGTTTACAGAACGTGTAATCTTGCCTAGATAAACGTCAACAATGGCTTACCTGTGTCGGTGGTCATTTCAGGCCTCCGCGAAGCATATCATTCCGAAGTGGCTTTGAGGTGTCGCAGGAAAATCCTGTAAAACAATGTGATGGTAAACTCGTCCTTTGCAGTGTGTGAGCGTCAACAGTGCTACCTTTTATTAAACATATCGTAATGATCAGCAAACCAGCGCGGCGTGGCCTCTCTTCCCTCTTTTTAAACGGGTAGGCCAGACACTGGCGTGTCCTTCATGTGTTGTAGGTCTTTTCAACAAATGTTAGCCCACATGTTAACAAAGAGCATTTGTTGGCAAAATATATTATTCATTATCTGTTATTATACAATTGAAAATACAAAATCTATAATTGAGACTGCTAAATCGCAATGTCCTACATTTCCTTCAATAACACGAAAATACGTAGGCCTAATAGACCTACAGCATAGCGCGAGGCTCCGGTCTACGTAAAGAGGAGAGAAGGCTACGAGTTCAAATAAAAGCACCTGAACGCAGCACGAGAGGCGCGCCTCGGCGCACAGCTGAGGTGAGAAGAAAACACTAACTGATGAAGTAAGGCTGCACGAAAATGTGGACGGAGGTGAAAAACAAGAGCAAGACAGTCACCAGCGACGGGAACAGCTCTGAGGTAAGAAGCTAACACGGGGAGAGAGCTCTCTTTAGGATAGAGTCGTAACTTTACGACGGAAAGCTGACTCGTAGCTGGTTTGAACGTTACTTGTTTAAAACATTACACACATTCAGTGTGTAGTGTTTTCGGTATAGGGCCCGACTGGAAGCTGTTTTTAAACAAAGCTGCAGGAGCACGTGCTTCGGCGCAAAATGTGGGGGGGTTAAAACGCCTTTGTGGCTTTCTTCTACATACCTTATCTTGCACGTTTTCTTATCTTTTATGCCCGAAGTGCTCTGATTTTCCACATTGTTGGGACTTCCTGCAGCACGTTTCCCAGCAGCCTCACTGATCCTGCCTGCACTTCACTTCTTCCTTTCTGTGTCTTCGTCTACAGACACTTCTATTAAATGGCTGTTTTAGCCTGCGTACGACCGAGCCGTGTGTCCTGTGTCGGTGCCCTCTGCTCCACTTTTCTTTTTTGTTGTTCCAACGCGAATGTTTTGCTGCATTTTCAGATGGTTGACCCAGATCTGACACTACAGCTTTTACACACTGTTCAACTGAGGAATGGTGAGTTTGATGTCTTCTATCTCCCTCGTGAGCCGTTTAACTGGTTTGTTTTAAATTTAATATACATAAACGTTTTTTATTTAGTTCTTTATAAAAATCTGAACTACATGTATTTCCACTACCGCAGTAAATCGGATTACAGTGCCAGATGAATCCTACCTATTGGTGTCAGCTTCAGATGACTGGCAATCAAAACTACTTTAGTTGAGAGCAAAGTTCCAAAGAGGCTGATTAGTGTCCGTCCAAAGTAAAAGTGATCACAGAAATGCTCATTATTTATGACGTACTGTACTTTTTTTATGACTTGATTTTCCTCACTCACATACTATGAATTTACAGTTTTAATAGTTTTATATACATTTTTGAAAACCTTTTTACGACTTGATTTTTTAAAAATAATTCCTTATTAAACTTCTTTACAATATGCCATTGACTTAAAAATAAAATACAAAATTATGACATACTATATAATAACTTTAAAAAATATTTCTGATATACTGACCTTTTTTCTTTTGACATACTATACAAAAACGTATTTGATATACTGACATTTTCTTAAAAATTTTATGACATGATTTTTTTTTTTTTTTTTTTTTTTAAATCATTTGTTTTGCTTTTTTATAACATACTATACTATACTATACTATGACTTTTCTTATGACATCTACTAAGTGTAACTTGGTGGTACATGAATGCTTTAGATAGATAATGCCTATAATAAAACTTATTAAATTAGTCTACTAGAGGGGGGAGTTACTGACCACAAAGATGGTGGATAGTTTTAATTCCTATTTAAATCCTATATATTCTCATTAATGAATCAGTTATGAGGCAAACGTATCTCACATTGTCTTCAAAACTGTTAAGTATTTCTGTTTATTTCTCTCTATGAAGGCTCAATTACAGCTGCCACTCATCCCTCTCACACAGAGGACTCTTTAACCAGCAACAGTGGAATCATCCCCGGTGAGCCCCGCTTTGACCCAAACCTGATGTCTCTGCAGACCCTGCTAGACCTGTTTCAGAGGAAAAAAACCCATCTGATTTGTGAGATGTAACGGCACTCAAACAACTCCCAAGCAAGCTTTGACAAATTCAGACACAAAGATCCCCCCCCCCAAAAAAAATACTCACTTCTATGACTGGTGCTTTTTGTCACACACATTAAAAAAATATATCTAAACACTTGCAGAACAGTCAGTTCACCAGACACACATTAGAAAAGAGCGGTGAAATTCAATAGTCAGCAGAGCGCTGAAAGATGACATTTACAAGCGTCTGACAGGAAGGGAGGAATTATGTTTGATATACAGTGGGTACGGAAAGTATTCAGACCCCTTTAAATTTTTCACTCTTTGTTTCATTGCAGCCATTTGCTAAAATCAAAAAAGTTCATTTTATTTCTCATTAATGTACACTCAGCACCCCATCTTGACAGAAAAAAACAGAAATGTAGAAATTTTTGCAAATTTATTAAAAAAGAGAAACTGAAATATCACATGGTCATAAGTATTCAGACCCTTTGCTGTGACACTCATGTTTAACTCACATGCTGTCCATTTCTTCTGATCCTCCTTGAGATGGTTCTACTCCTTCATTGGAGTCCAGCTGTGTTTAATTAAACTGATTGGACTTGATTAGGAAAGGCACACACCTGTCTATATAAGACCTTACAGCTCACAGTGCATGTCAGAGCAAATGAGAATCATGAGGTCGAAGGAACTGCCCAAGGAGCTCAGAGACAGAATTGTGGCAAGGCACAGATCTGGCCAAGGTTACAAAAGAATTTCTGCAGCACTCAAGGTTCCTAAGAGCACAGTGGCCTCCATAATCCTTAAATGGAAGAAGTTTGGGACGACCAGAACTCTTCCTAGACCTGGCCGTCCAGCCAAACTGAGCAATCGTGGAAGAAGAGCCTTGGTGAGAGAGGTAAAGAAGAACCCAAAGATCACTGCGGCTGAGCTCCAGAGATGCAGTAGGGAGATGGGAGAAAGTTCCACAAAGTCAACTATCACTGCAGCCCTCCACCAGTCGGGGCTTTATGGCAGAGTGGCCCGACGGAAGCCTCTCCTCAGTGCAAGACATATGAAAGCCCGCATAGAGTTTGCCAAAAAACACATGAAGGACTCCCAGACTATGAGAAATAAGATTCTCTGGTCTGATGAGACCAAGATTGAACTTTTTGGCGTTAATTCTAAGCGGTATGTGTGGAGAAAACCAGGCACTGCTCATCACCTGCCCAATACAATCCCAACAGTGAAACATGGTGGTGGCAGCATCATGCTATGGGGGTGTTTTTCAGCTGCAGGGACAGGATGACTGGTTGCAATTGAAGGAAAGATGAATGTGGCCAAGTACAGAGATATCCTGGAAGAAAACCTCTTCCAGAGTGCTCTGGACCTCAGACTGGGCCGAAGGTTCACCTTCCAACAAGACAATGACCCTAAGCACACAGCTAAAATAACAAAGGAGTGGCTTTGGAACACCTCTGTGACCATTCTTGACTGGCCCAGCCAGAGCCCTGACCTAAACCCAATTGAGCATCTCTGGAGAGACCTGAAAATGGCTGTCCACCAACGTTCACCATCCAACCTGACGGAACTGGAGAGGATCTGCAAGGAAGAATGGCAGAGGATCCCCAAATCCAGGTGTGAAAAGGTTGTTGCATCATTCCCAAGAAGACTCATGGCTGTACTAGCTCAAAAGGGTGCTTCTACTCAATACTGAGCAAAGGGTCTGAATACTTATGACCATGTGATATTTCAGTTTTTCTTTTTTAATAAATTTGCAAAAATTTCTACATTTGTTTTTTTCTGTCAAGATGGGATGCCGAGTGTACATTAATGAGAAATAAAATGAACTTTTTTGATTTTAGCAAATGGCTGCAATGAAACAAAGAGTGAAAAATTTAAAGGGGTCTGAATACTTTCCGTACCCACTGTATGATGGATAGGAATATGAGGATAGTCAAAAAACCTGTTTTTGTTTTCTGCGGAGGAGTTGGCTCATTCACGGGATTAAAAGCGGGTAAACAAATTATTCCCGCAGTACTCCCTGCAGACGTACACTTGTCCTGTCCTCACGGGGCTGCATGTGTTTTTAACGCATGCTTTTTAAAATTCTTTTGCTTTCAGGTGCTATTGCAGCCACCGTGTTCATTGCCCTTTTGCTTGCTCTCTACGCCGTCCTCTGGAAGTGCATGGTGTCGCCGCCCCAACGGTAACTAACGGACGCACTCGCGCCGCAGCTCCAATTTAAAACTTTGACACAGCGCTGTTGCAAACTGGCATTCGTTCACCTGCCTTTTAGCGTCGCATGCCTGGACTTTGTATCCCAGCTAATCAAAATAAGACATGCCACCCCCCCCCTTCATATTAATGTTTTAATTTTCTGTACTCGTCATGTAAACACACTCATTTGTGTTTCCCTTTTTCAGAAAGCACAGCAAACTGAGGGTGAGAGTGAAACAGAGGACGTCTGTGTGAAGACTGGCTTTCAGGTGCAAGGGTGTCCTGAGTCTGTTCACCAGGTAAACTTTGGATCTCGGTGGTGTGGACTAAAATCAGACTACTAAAATAACCTACGTGACAAAATGCCACCAAAGAAGATCCTCCTAATCGATCCAAAGATCAAACCGGTGTGTTCCCTCAGCTTTACAGACCGCTGTGAGCCGCTTGTTCGGCAGGTCGGAGCCTGCTGCTTTCTATCTTCCCTTTCTTCTTCTGTGAACTCTGCGTTACTGAGGGAACGAGGTTACGCCTCGCTCCCGTGACCGATCGGCCAATCGCCTGGACGCGAGCATCCAATGTAGAATTGTTTTATATCTGCCCTCTGTTGTCTGCTTTGAAATCCACTCAGGATGTTGTAACTGCTGAAATACTTCTGACTCGATTAAACTGACTTTTTAAAAAACATTTAGTGCAATGTGAATATGAATAAATGCTCATTTCTGTGACTGCGTCAGGCTCAACGTGGTTTCTCCTTTGATAGATGGTGTATTTATAATTTCTTTATAGGAATGAGGAAAGAAATGTGTGTATGGACTTCTGACAATCTCGCTACTCTAGTAGCTGGCTCCGTCACAGCCACATCACAGTGCTGGTCTGACGCTTTGTGGTTTTTCAGAACCGGTTCTGCTGCTTGTGGAGCTCAGGGGAGGAGATTTAGCGGAACTGTGAGGCGGAAATTCTGCTAAAAGTCATCACAGCAGAGCCGATGTAACCGATGGCAGGTTGACTTGTGCGTACACATTTTTCAAAACCTCAAGAAAAAATGGTTTGGGTTGTACTGAGCCACGGATTCTGGTGAAGGAACACAGATTTAATCTGATTATACTTCATATGATTTACTTTTTATACTTAAGAGATTACATAACTTTCTAAATATCCATCAGCTCCGGGGTTTATGTATGAAGAGAGATCAGTCAGATGTTCTAAATCTGGAGTCTGTGAAATGACAACTGCTGAGAAACATTTCTGGCAGTTCAATAAAACATTGCTCATATGTAAACTTGTTAAACAGTATTACACCAGCACCAACTGTCGACGCTTATGTAACCCTTCATGAGGGCGTTCAGGGTGAGCTTTAATTCTAACCTAAAGCAGAGCAAAGAGGAAAATAAACAAGATCATTGTCACACAGCTGCTATTCTGACCAGTTACGTCAACACAGGTATTGGCTGTAGGAGAGATTTCCTGCTATAAACCGGTTCTGTGTGTTTATTGATGAAGCTGCACGTGTAACAGTTCCACACTCGGTTTCCTCAGATGTGAGATTTTTAAATATGCGCAAAAAGCCAAATCAATCATTTTAATTTCCTAAAATGTTAATACCATAGAATATATGATAGTACCACGTCTAACACTATTCCATGTTCAGCTTCATCCGGTAGCCGAGATAAGATCCTCAAACTTTTTAAAGTAAGTTCCTCTTGTGGTACCTTTGAACTACTCTCCACATCACCTGCTGTGTTTTCTGCTCTACTTACAATGTGTTCTGTTAAAATGTGGCATAAATACCAAAGCTTCTTGTATTTACATTAGAAAGACTCACATTGCTAATGAACAAAGCATCTATTTACAGTCTTTAAACTCTAGAAGCATGTCAGCAGGTTTGGGTTTGGTCTTTAACTTTGAACCCATCAATGGAGATATAAGCATATAGAACACTAGCTGACTCAAACTTTGATTGGATTCCAGTGAACGGGACTTCTTGTGCCTCAGACAAATCCTCCCCGGTGTACAAATAAGTCTCGTTGGTGACGCATGCGATCGGCTGAAGGGCCGGACCGCCCCAGAGCGCCGGGACCGACTGCGGACAGTAGTCTGCTTGGAGCAGTGACCGGGCTGAGGGGGAGGACTGGGAACCGGGATCCGGATCTCTCAGTGCGGTGGTTTCGTCCAGAGGAGGTCTGGTGTTCAGGATCTCTATGTCGCAGCTGCTGCACTCCTCCGCCTGCTGGGACCGCAGCCGCTCAGCAGTCTGTGCAAAACATGCAGAAAGGGTTAAATACTAATACCAGGCCGATAATTACACTAACTTCAGGTAATAGAAGCGGGCCTGTGGGCCTATTGCACATGGAATGGTTGTGCATTAAATCTAGTCTCCACTCAAAGTGAAAATGTTTGAAATGATTTCTGTTGAATTTGGGTTTTTACAGGAATCTCATTGCCCTGAGTGCCATTTTTCTTGCCAAAGTGACTGCTTATTATAATGGACCAGAAATATGAGCATAAGACCCAGACTGACAGATACCGAATTTTGACTGAAAACCTCTCTTGTATAAAGAAATAAGGTTATTTTATTGAGGAGTTGCTTTCCGATGATCTATTTGAACTCTTCTGCAAAACACTAACACTGTTCCGGTTTGTCATTTATTAATACAGTATCTCTGTGTGATGATTAACGTGAGTGAAATAAGCCAATTTAACAAAACAAAGCAGTTAACGAGCCACCTGAATTAAGTGTTTATGAAATCTAGAACAATAGAAAGACGACAAATCTGTTTTTTTAAACCACGGTGGAGGAAGGACCTGATCAGATTCACTTTGCTGAAATAGTTTCATAATTCCACGCTATCTAAAAAAAACAAACATGAAGTATTCTATAGTAAGTGTATCTTATGGTGATCACATAGTCGTTTCCTCTCTATGCATGTTTCGACTCTTTCACTGGTTTGTCCGTACCTTGTGCAGGAAGCCGTCTAACTCCGGGGTTTTGATGTTCATACCAGCAGGATAAGCAAATATCTCCTTCAGCCCACTCCTGAGCCTGGAAGAGAAACCCAACAATGGGAGAGAGAGAGAGCGGCTCCGTTACTGCCAAGAGAGTCCAACCTGCCCGACGCATCGTCATCTTCTCAGGCTTCACTAACCCCAACAACCGCCGGCACACTCAGCCGTCCTACAGTGGTGGTTGTCAAGCCAGGGTTTCTGTGTTTGCGGCATATGACCGAACTTCAAATTTCTGTCATATTTTATGACTTCTTCGCCCTTTAATGGAAGAATCTGAGTTTGTATTATTGGGATTATATAAATGTAATTTGCTGTTTATACAGGTACATTCCTCACTTTGTGGCGAGCGGGAGAGTAAACGCTTTGATTGCAGTGTAAGGGAACGAATCTTGGTCTGATTACATAAACTAAGGAAATGTTTCCCACCTGGATGACGATCAGAAGGCGAATCAAGTCTTTGTCTGTTGAACACATGCAAGTTACTAACTAAAGGAAGCAACCAGAGGGGGATGACCAAGCCAAAGGGTAAAGCGACGGAGAACAGCTTCCCATCGGGGTGCACATTTCACCCTAACACCTGTCATGTGTGCCATGCTCTGAGCTTTAAAAGTGTGACACCGCAGGACATTTGTGTCTCGGAAGTGTTTACATCTTATCTTTTTTCATTTTCACTGAGATAATGACAACGATGTCTCTTGCTGTGTGTGGGTGTGAGAGAGCGAGAGAGAGCGAGAGCGAGAGGGTGGACTATTGCAGGCAATGTTTCTTTCCGTGAGGATCTAGTTGGTAGGACAGACGGGGATGCTCCTCTCTGTGGAAGTCCAATTTAAAAAGGTGTGCCGTTTATGGATTCATCTCTTAGGTACAACTACCAGTTATCAGCCAGCAGTACCTCATATTTTACATTTGAAGGGTAATGTAACTTACATTATTCAGAGTTTAAAGATCAAGTTACTCACATTTTCCTTTGAGGCCACATGAGAACGATGCAGCCCAGCAGTAACAGGATGGGAGTCAGTACCTTGGCCAGGTGAGCAGCATCTACCAGAGGAAACAGAAGATGAGAACAATCAACCAGTGAAATTCAAAGTCTGTATAATGGAATCTGACACGTGTAGAGATTCTAAAATAAAAATGAATAAATATTGTATCTCTCTGGTTGCACCGGATGTTCTGGAGCTCACAGTTGGTTCTGGTCCCGATGGTGATACTGGTTGGTTCTCCAGGCCCCTCCTTAGTGAGCGCGCTCACAGAGAAAGCGTACTCTTGGTTCTGCTGCAGACCCTCTATGGTCACTGACTTCCTGCGGGGGTCCGCCACGGACACGTTGAACTGATCTAAAAATGTATACGAGATTGATAAATACCTCATTTCATGTTTCAGAACAGTCATATTTTGCACATTTTTTTTATGAACACAGTTATTCTTGATCACTGGAAGCTCTCCTTTGCACCTACCAGACCCGACTTCCTGTGCTGTAACCAGGTAACCCGTGATGAATGCCGGGTGGGCCGGATCGTCCTCGTCGTAGCTCCACTCCAGCGTCACCGAGGATGATGTGCTCTGAACGGGTTCAACCAAACTCGGGGACTTTACAGATTCTGAGGAAAATGACAGATAGAATCAAAACAACAGACGTTAAGCAAGAACGAAACTTCCTCAACTGATATGAACCTACAGGGACTTTTTAATCTGACGCCGGCATCACTGTGCTGATGTCACAACCTGCCACAAAAGCTTCGATCTGATCGCTTTCGTGTTTTTTTTATAAAATGAAAAGTGGTCAGTAAATAGGAATATTATTTGCGTGCCATTTTGTCCTTCTCCCTCCTCTCTGCATATCTGACAAACAGGAAAGTGATGGTGCATAGATGACATCTGGAGGATATCCTCTGATAAAGACTTGGTTTCAATTTTAACCATGTCAAGACCTCATCTCCTCTGCAGTGTGTCTCACTGTCTGTTGTACTATCAGCATCATCTGGAACATACCGTCACCCCTCTAAGAACCAGCAGAACATGAATACGAGAACACAGACACACATCTCCAGTACATAACACTCACGGAGCTCTTGTGAGTATCCAGTCTGCGCCTCCAGTAGTCTGTGTCCATTTTCTGTGCATTCATAGATATTAAATGTATACCTACAACCTGCTTTGAAATGTCCTGCAAAATAAAGAAAAAGGAAAAAAATACAAAATGTTTTTTTCCCTCCAAAACAGAAAAAAAACAACGTGATGTGCATTTACAGACCACTTAAAGAAAACAACAAAAACTCACTAGCAGGTAGGACCAGTGTGTTGTTTCCCTCCAGCACTTTCACCCAACACACCGCATCGGTACATGGTACTGCGTGTCCCAAGATGCACCACTCTACAGTGTAGCCACAGGTGGCGGTGTCCGCGTCGTCCCAGGACAGGTTAAACCCAGCGGCCGTGTTGCTGCTGACCCGCTTCTTCGCTGGGAGGGTTTCTGGGCAGAGACGCAACAAGAACAAGAAAAATCAACTAGAGGACACTTGCAGAGTGAAAACCTCCATCAACACTGAACTAAGAGAACCTCACCTCCGTCATCCCTCTGAGGGACGGTGATGTGAGCTGGGACGGTGGAGCCGGTGAGGACAACCGCCTGGACAGTGAAGTCATGCTGTCCCGCATCAATGGAGACCTCCGCCTGGGTTTGTCCGCCGTCCTTCCACTCGGTCCGGTTTTGGCCTCCCTGGGACCACTGAACTACGTAGCCCTGGATGTTCACGGTGGCTGCTGACCCGGGAACATGCTAAGAACAAAGGATGGGGGGGGGGTCATGTTGGGGAAAAGTTGCTGCTTTGGTAAAAAAACAACAACAAGCACAGTGTCTCACTGGAGTCCACAATAGAGTGACTTGACGAGTGTTCGGGTCGGACAGCTGCTTTATTCTCCTCCATACATCCAAGGTCACCATCGGATCTGAGGAGATCAGAGAGAATATTTGTTTCAGGCATCACTGACATGAAGATCCTTCCAGTATACTCATACTTACTCAGACTGTGGTACTACCAGTAGCTTACAGCCTCGCCTTGAACCAACTTCTTGATATGTAGGACTTGTATTCTTGGCTCAACAGTTTTTAGGGCCGTATGAAATCAGTTTTATTTGATCGTGTTTTCATCAACCATAGCGCCATAGGAGGTCATTCATTGCCTGATTTAGTCTTAACTTGAACATTTTTTGATCACTGGTCTGAGCATGGTCTTGATTTAGACTTCATTGAGCTTAACCACCACGTTATCCTGGTGATACCTACAGGTAGTGAAGGATATGGGCTGTGTCCATTCTCCCCTGAGCCTGCCGCCGGCAGAGCAGCGTGCCCTCGCAGAGTAGCAGGTGTTGGGAAGCAGATGTTCCAGTTCGACTTCGCAGTGACCGCTTGCATTGTTGCAAATCAGCTGCGACACACAGACGGAAGGTCGTCGTTTATTTAACATTTTTAAATGCACTGAAATGTCCAACTTTCAATTCTGCAGTATGAACAGCCGATGAAACTCACCTGAGTGCTGCTGTCCGGGTCTGTGGTGACCTCACAGAGGAGGTTCAGTCGGGTCAAGTTGCCTCGGACGACCCAGGACACAGTGGAGTGTGACACCCCAGGGCTCACCCTGACAACCACCACCACAGGAGACACTAACGACGACAACGCACGCACGCACGCAAACCATCAATTTAAAGTGTTTGGCTACAACATATCCTGTTTAATGTTTGTGTGACCTCTGACCTCTGTCAGATATGTTGAAGCTGTAGCTCTCCGTCTCCTCTCCCAGCTGGTCCTTCACCACCACACTGATGTTGTATTCTTCCCGCTGCGGGACGGCCGGGAAAGAACAAGACAACGGCTTACACCTGATGGGATTCTGGTCTGAGTTCCTGTGTTCTCAACAAGAAAGAAAGGAGTGGGAAAAAAACAAAACAAAAAACACAACCAATGAGTCATCCAACTGTCAGTTTTGGGACTTGTTTGAGAACAAACATCCTTTTCTGCCCCGTAATATGTAGACATTACTGCTGAAAAAAGGCTTCAGTTTTTATCTCAAATTAAGATTTTGGAGTCTTTATTGTGAAACTCATACGTAACCCTCCCGGAGAGGAGTGAATTTTTTTTAATGTGTGCTCTTACTCTATGTGGAGAGTGTGATTTTGTTTGTTGCCATCGTCCAGGTGTCGTTGTCTGCCTGAATCCCAGGTGCAGATGACAGTAACCATGTCTGAGGTGGCGCACCGGAGGTTTCCGGGCCTCTGGGGAGGAACTGCAGCACACACACACACACCCACCCACCCACACACACATTTTATATATATATATGTGTATATATATGTGTATATATATGTGTATCTATGTCAGCTTGTG